CCCCCCCCCCCCCCCCCCCCAAGAAAGCATGGCCTCTAGGCGAACGATCCTGACCACAAACTAGTCCTCCCAAGAGTTAGTCATCGTGCTTACCATTGTCATTGTCTTTTTTGTCTACCGTCCGTAGTAGTGGCATGATTCGATGTACTTTCGTTTGTACCTACACCTCGAATTTCCTTGAAAAACATGGCTAAGAGTATATCCATGATCTTTCACTCTCTAAGTGCTATAGTATTAACCGTACAATAGCCTTTATTTTCAACAAATCGTAGTAGTGGCAATGTCCCAGGACTCAATTGCAACACTCTCATTTGCTAAATCGAAATATTTGACCGAAATTTGCCCAGGAAACTCTTTGTAAGGCTTTGACAGATCAAATTTGCGGATAAAATCGTAAAATAGGCACGGAAAATACCATGGGCAGCCACTATAAATAGGACATGACTCATTATATATACCTACCTAGAGATCTTTATCACTCAAATCCACTTCTCCAAGCAAAATTGAGATCGCTTCGTGTATATTTTAGCCTCTTTCATTGACGACAAGATGATTAAAATTGATCCTCATTGGGATTCCCTCCTTGCGTCTTTATCTCCCAAGGTGCTCAAAACTATCCCAGCTTTGAGTCCCCCTGATGGCATTCAATCTAATTTCGACCATCCGTATAGCAGGGGCTACGTTCTTGTCACTGTCAGTTCTATATTGGTCAGTCTAATGATAGTATGTTATGCTATCAGGGTATATACGAAAATAAAGATTGTGCGTAGAGCACAATGGAGTGATTGTTAGTGGACGCCTTGCTCGGTGTTAGATCTAAATAAAGCTGACTTGGAGATTTAGTTACTCTACTGATATCCTTCGTGCGTGGCATATTCTTGATCATCTCTACTGTATATAATACTGATTCATCTACAGCTTAGTGCTATTTTGCTCTATGTCACTACTACATTATGTATGTACACTTCTATCACATATCAACAGTCGGTTAACTTTAGCAAGCTGCCACTCCTGGTGGGACCGTCGGTATTCATCAATGGGACAATTCCTTATTTAAGGTATTTAATCGACGTAATCTAATAGTAAGTATTATTTTTCGTTGCCTATGCATTGCCCTTGAAGCCCAGCACTCACGCAAACTAGGTAATGTATATACCCACGTTTGCCGTATCTTTGTCCCTTGGCTTTGTGAAGCTTTCCATCTTTCTCGTGTATCTTGAGACGTTTGTTGGATTACGTTGGATGAAAATTGCTGTCTATATCGGTGCCACGATTTCTTCCATCTTCTATCTCCCTTTCACACTCGCTCAATTATACTACGGAACGCCGTTGCACGGGGAAACATTCGCAGAACATATCTTTACAGATCGCAGTATTAAAGGAACACAGTGGTCCGTTCCTATGAGTTGTGTTGGGCTAGGAATTGACTGCTACCTCTTTATCTTGCCTCTTATTGCGGTGAGTAGGCTGCATCTTCCAATGCGGAAAAGGGTGGCAGTTATGTTAATGTTTTGTGTCGGTTCACTGTGAGCGTCAATAACCTCCTTCATATACAAACTCAATTTATAACATGTGAATGATAACAGAGCCATCATGGGGTCTACTTTGAGCATCATCTATCGTGTGAACTTCAACCAGAATGATGATATCACCTTCAATCTCCTCAACGTCAATCTAGTGTTGTAAGCAGAACCTTCATCCCGTGGTCTTGCATTATTTTTCTACAAGGCTAATGGCGATGCAGAACCGTTGAGCTATATATCGGTATCATGATATGCTGCTTCCTGCCGATGCGAATATTCTACCGCACATACCGAAAGGGGCTTTCAAAGGCGGTCTTAGTTTTCACATCCTGTCTGTCTGGGTGCTGTAGAGTAGGCTCAAAACCCACCACATATACCGCAAATCGCATAGATAACGAAAAACAAGTTCCCCCTTTTGCACCACCGGCGCGGGCAAAAATGAGGGGGCCAAATCTTTATCCAGATCTTGATGTGACGAGTCCTTCAGATCTTGAACGTGGCGGTTTGAGTGGCAATTTGAATAGTGGTGGTTCGAACAGGGCTATACAAACAAACCATAGTGGAGTTGCTCATTCAATCCCTTCGAATGAGCTTCACTACTGGGCTTGAGATATATGACTGGTGTTCAGAGTCATGATAAGATGGAATATGTTTGGACGTGAATGGAAAGACGCGAATAATAACCGTACGTGACAATTCCATAAACAATCACGGAGGCACTTGATGTAAGAACTAGTCAATTCAAAGTTGAACGATCTCAAATCGGACTCCAGTCCGGACTATTGGACATATTGAGTGCAGATGGGATTGGGATAGGGGTGATCCTAACTTGAGGTTCTTAAGCAGGTATTCTCACAGCATGCTTTTTATCGCTTTAACGCGAGGAGGCTTGTAAAGGGGCGCGTGTAGCATATATATAAGAAGTGTTTGAGGTGTTTGGGCTTCGACACCCTGGACAAAAGTATAGTGCTAACAAGACGGGAAATTTGTATGGAATTCGGGTTCTTTTTTATCTAAGAAACATAACCCAGTGGAGAAATTCCATAGTTTCCGCGAGAGTCCAGAAGATAGTAATTAGATGGAGAAACATATGTAACGGACCACAGGAAATAATATTCAGGGCCCACTGTTACCATTCAAAAAACAAGGAAACCTTTTGATTACACACATACAGCTGTTTTCTATAAGGAAAGCTTATGTTGGTGAATTTTAGCTACAGGATCCCGCGAAAATGGCGCTATATGGAAAGTTTTACCGAACCAGCCTTTCCCCTTTATCCATTCTCCCCCATTCAAATAAGAAGCCTGGGCCCATTCAGAATCAATCCCCTCTTCATATCACTCCCATGAATAGCTCAGTGCAGACCAAGAAAATCCTACTGCTCATAATAAAATCGCGACATAAAGCGTATGGATCTGAGAAGCGAAGATACCCGTATTTTTCTACATTATGGGGTACTTAAAAGAAATCTTCGCTTAATAGTCTTTTTTTGATGAAAATCCACTTTTGTTCAAACACAATACAATGATGAAATTAAATGGTGCTGATGAGCAAGGAAATGGTAGCTGGGGAGAAAAATGAGGAGTTGGGGAAATTGTCGAGGAAGAAGGGAATCTAAGCGTGTTGTGAGGGAAGCTGTGATTAAGTATGGTGCCACAAGAAAATGTTGTTGGAGTTGTCAAGTCATGAGCCGGTTGTAAAGACCAAAAACGCATGGAAGATAGAAGCGGGCGTTGCAGTAGATGAGATTTCCGCAATGGTGATGCGTAATCAATATCCTGTTTCCCAAATCGACGTGTGCTGTCGGTTGATAGAGGGTGTGCAGGTTTCCGTCTTCTGCAATCTATGACTATACATTAAGATGTGTTAATGAACGTCGTGTTCTCAGGGCAATCAAATAGGAAAGGGGGGTTGAACTACCTCCTGCTAGTCAGCCGCTCTTCTCCAAAAATCGCTGTCATTGTCGATATCGTATTCACCAAAATCACTATAATTATAGTGATCATGATCATTGTCGAGAAACTCGTCAAAATCGCTTCCAAGCACATCGAAGTCCGACACTTCCACACCTTCCGTTGTGTTGACTGTCCATCTATTCTTGATTTCTTCATTTCGAATAAAATCACTCGGGCCCTCCTCGTACACCTCGACAATGATATTTTGCAGGG